GGGTTCGTGGCGATGGCGAACTGCCGTGCACGATCCCGAACGGAGGAAATGTCACAAGCCGAACGGAAACCCTACACAATGGACCGGACAATACGGCGTTCAGAACGTGTTTTCACATTCGTATATGTCGACAGTACAGGCACAACGGTAATGACGGTGAAAAAAAAAAAGTTCGCGTGGCCGTGAATTTTCTGTTTTTTTTTTTTTTTTTTTTTCCGCCATCGGCCCTCGTTTCCTGCCAACGCTAGGAAGTCCGATAGAGGTTAGGCGGCGCCCCAAACACTGGACCGGATTCACGTCGCGACGGCCGTTGATGGAATCCGGCGTCGCCCGCCGTCTGCAGCGTGGGGCCTTGGTTCACTTGCCTGGGACTGTGGTACATCGGTGACTTACGGGCGGCTATCTGCCGAAAAGCCCGCCCCTAACTCGCCGGGACTACGGGTTCTCTGTGGCGGGGGGACCGGTGGKTTAAACCGCAATTACCTTTCCCATATACCGGCCGCGGGCCTGAATTTACCCTGCACGCCAGAGAACAACAAACCAACACATATGTATCTGGCTGGCGCAGCCAGCCATTTTGCCGCAGGCCTTAACGTCTGTGTTTTGTTTCAACCAGGAAACGTACTGGTGGCTTAGCTCAGTTGGTTAGGCACGCAAGTGCCATTCAGGAGGTTGTGGGTTCGAGCCCCCATGACCGTTGCAGCACACTTAGTGCCAACCGACTGTGATAGTCGGCTTGATACTTCTATTAGTAGGATCTATGACCAACAGGGGTGTGAGTGTGAGCATGAGTGGGCTGTGTGGTGTGTGTGTGAGAGTGTTGGCCATAGCCACTGCTGCTACTTGATGGGGGGTTAGGGAAGTAGATGGGAGGTGCAGCTACAGGCAGAATATTCGGTCTTTGCGTTAGCCGCCCCCCCCCACCGGCAGCCCCACCCTACTCCCTGACCACTGCGTATTAGGGTGGGGGGCAACATGCATTCCCGGGGTCCCCTGTAAGGGCCAACCTTCTCTCTTACCTGACAAGATGTGAAGTCTCTTCCAGATTTGCCTTTGCAAACTTCAGGGAATGCTCAGCAACAAGCCTCTCCCATATACTGAGACAGTCGAGCTGTGCAATCACCACGTGCCCTAGGGAGGCCGCACAGGCTGGGGTCAGGCCATTTGCCAGTCGCTCTGCCTCTCCCTATCCCCTCGCCTACCGTAGGAAGAGGGTCTACTTCTGCTGTTCTCCGGGGTGGAAAGGGCTATCTCCAGGTGGTGGGCACCAAGCTCGCACGGGCATGAGCCCGTGGGAGTGGAGCCCACAACCTACTGAATTCCACTTGTGCCCCGTGCCAACTGAGCCAGGCCGCTACCGTCTCTTCATCCGCTGCATAATGCAGGCACATAGAATAGAAATAATGTCTGCCCTTAGAACAGGAAATGGCCGTCGAATAGGAAATAGGAATCGTATCACTGCTCTCCAGAGTCGATGGAGCTATGGTTGGCTGCCCTGACTAGACGTGTTTCAGTATGGAGTCAATGATGCTTTGGAGATCGTGGAACGATCCTCTGAGATTGAGGAATATGCTTCGGAGATTGTGGAACAGGCGCCTTGCTCAACTGGTTGCGGTCACTGGACCGCCAGTTTCGTCCTATTTGACTAGAAGGTGGGATGAGATGTGGAGGCACACCAATGGGCCCAGCTTAGTCGCTCCACGTTGAAATGCATAGGAACTGTTGAAAAGCGGACATGAGTTCGAACTCCAGACAGGTCAGTCCACATAGACGATATCTCAAGACTGTCGCCCAGAAAAGACACAAGAGTTTCTCGACGTGGTTGTGTCCTCCTCTGTGAATGACGCATGCTATGCTATTCTTCTCGTCTATGCGCCATAGTGAGGGGATAACCCCTAACATCATTGTATCGTGAATGAAGGTGCGAGTTTGCCCTAACTTCACAAAAAAAAAAAAAAAAGAGTTTGCCCTGAAAGAAAAAAAAAAAAAAAAAAAAAAAAACACGTTATTGTAGTTGTGTAGCTTGTGTTATTTGACTTATCTTGAGCACACTCAGATATACACCCAGTGCCGTGCACACACACAGCTGCAAGAACAATGGAAGGGGTACACTAAGGACAACCAAAAACTGTCTAATTATAAAATTGCCTTAATGTGTTGGATTGTGACTTTCTTATCTCAAATGCTCTCGTTGTCTGCAATACGACAAAGACTGCTTTGATTCTAAATCTATGCATCTGTGTGGAATTGGGGCTGTTGGGGGGGAAATCACACACACACACACACACACATACACACACACACACACACACACACACACACACACACANGGGAGACTTGCCAGGGCAGGCTCTTGAACAAGCTTTGGGTTTCTGGCCTTCTTTCCTGATACCCATCGCCAAGGTAATGTATTGATCACCCCACTAACACCGTTAAGTCTTTTCCTGGCACCGAGGAACTGTAGACCAATTCGTGGGATAACCAATGTCTGTAATGTGCGTCCACGTGACATCAGGTATATGCCCATTTTTCAGGAAAGACGTACTGTTTATTTTGTCCGTTGGGAAAGGTTTGAATGGAGCCCTCTCTCTCTCTCTCTCTCTCACACACACACCTGTCTCTTATACACATCTAGATGTGTATAAGAGACAGGTCCAGATCAGTTCTGGGAACGGCCAGACGGGTCCGAGAATATGGACCACTCGCGTTGGTCCTGGTTCGTCGCCGGTTTCGTCCGCATATGGATAGGCGAATTGAGAACAGAAAGAACCTCAACGGGCGCCCCATGATGGTGCTACCGGTAGCCCATTTGCCTCGAGCACTGGACACCCTACATGCGCTGGGACTACCGGTTCAGTGCGGTCGGCTGAACTCGCTTCGGCTACCGGCAGAGCAAACGGCTCAACGACCGGTCTGTTTCGAGCACGAAGCGCATCCTCACCACCAGCCCTTTAGTGCATGCACGTACCCGCAAGAGAGCATCTAGATTCATCAAAACAGGCTCTGATGTGAGTGTTATGCCGTGCCGGTTGACGCTCACGATACTATCCTGAGGGACCGTGCGGTGTCAATGACCAGCGAACGAGGAGCCAGTGTGAGCTGTGAAGAGCACCTTCTATAGGACTATAGGTAGCAAATATATATCTATATCTATATAAATTGTAAACGACAGTTATTATAATACTGCAAAGGACAGTTATTATTCAACAAGGATAGGACCGAGGGATCAAGAGGGAAATCCGAGCTTTAGGCACTGGAAGCATCGGTGCTTTGCTCATGCTTGGATAGCATGAACCCGAAGAGTCCAGGTTCGTGCTAAGTAGGCTCGGCCTATCGTCTTCCCCCGAACATAACGCACCCTCATTTTGCCTGTACCGGAACGGAAAGATGGCTTCTATACATTCATTATCAGGGTGCCTTATGTTCGGGGGAAGACGGGTAGCTTAGCACAAGCATAGCTCCAGTGGCCCCTGGCGCTCTGGCGCTGGTTGGTGAGCTGACGGGGGGAAAACGGTTTGGAGGGTCCCAGGCCATGTCGGCAATGGGCCCGAATGATGACATAGATAATGCCATTGTAACTGTTAATAAACAGATCATGCGCTCAAATCCAGCGGATCGCGAAACCGATCCGTCCATAGGGGGGGAAAGGAAGACACCCAACTAAACAAAAACACGAAGGAAAGGAAAAAGAAAGACAAAAGAAGACGCCCGTCTCTGAGGGCGTATTCACACCAGCACTTTTAGAATGAATCTGACTGTATTTGCGGCCAGAAGTGGATGCATCTGGTATGCCCTGATGTCCAGAGCTGAGTCGAAAAAGTTCGCTGATGTATGCCCTGAGGCAGGAAAGAATATGGGCCCGCCCTTTTTTCTGTTGAGAATCGCGGCGATCGCGGGACTGGCGGGGGGAAGGGCAAGCGGAACCGGAAGCGGAAACGCAAGCCGCTAGCGGGCAGGCGCGATCGGCGGGCACGTGTTGGAACGGCCACGTTCTCTGGCCTTTGCACCCGCGCTACAGCGCACTGCCACCTAGGATTGCTTTTCCCCGCGCCCTCAGCGGAATTTGGCGCAGTTTGTCTCCTGCCGCGTCAGCACAGCAGCACAGCACCGCCTTCGATTTGATATCCCGGTCCCATTGGCACTTCCGACGCTGAAGCGTCTATTGCCGTCCGTTGGATTAGCAATCTTTTTGTTTTCTATAGGTTTCTGTCCGCTCGATTTCCATGGAGCAGATCCCCAACCTCTCGATCGGGCGATCTGTAGCCATCAGGCGGCGAGAGAGCAGGGGAGGACGTCGACCTCTCGATAGGGCAGGGCAGTGGATCGAGTCCCCATGTAGGCGCAGGTGACTTGAAAGCAGGTCGCCCGAAAAGCGTGGAGGTTACCGTGCCTTCAATTCAATTCAACAAACTATAATCATCACTGTCAAAAAAAAATGTTCCGCCACTCGATTTTGCGGCTACGCCCCGCTCTTTTTATTTGGCTTTCCATTTCCACTTCCCTCCCGCGCACGTGTGCTGCCGGTCGGCGCCCCCGCGGCCACCTTCCTCACGACGGTGTCCTCCCCACCCCCCCGCCTGCCTGCCCTCATGTGAGGAAGACCAAATTATGGCGGGTGTATCTTTCCACCTTCTAGCGGAAGATACGCTCACCAAATTTGCACGTTTCTCGAGTACTACGAATGGCAGCGCGCGCAGTCTTCCTACCTCTTGCCCTCTCTTTTGTGCGGTTGGAACCGACCGATCGAGTGGAAGGTCGAAGCCCTTAAGAAGCTTGATTCACTGCAACGTAACAAACAACTTCCCATCGTTTCATCATTTGATTCTACGGCCGAATAATCGTGTCGGGTTCGGGCAGCAGGAGGGCTCTCACCAGATCTCCACGGTGTGCTTGGCTGGCAGTAGTCATTGGGCTAGCGGCCACCTGAAGGCGCGGTGAGTGCTCTTCCTGAAGGCGCGGTGAGTGGGTATTCCGGGGCGGGCGGGTATAGTCGGTTGGATGGTGAGGAACGAAGAGGTGCTGTAGGTGAATGATAATTAGGTGGGTGAATGAGGCAGTCAGCCAGCTAGCAATGGCTCGTTTGCTGCCGCTGAACTTGTCCCTGTGTTATCGCTAACGTGACACAAGTTCACGTTGCGTGACTCGGCGTCCTCGAGCTCTTCAGTTCTTCTTTCTTCAGTCAGATGGGACAACAATGAAGGTCAGTCGACGGAGATGGTGAAGGAAGGAAAGAATGTGCAACAGATTTCAAATTGATTTCTCTGGGGAGGATTCTGGTACAGGACTTCTGGCGTCAATGAGCTGACCTGTCTCTCCACTGAAGCACACGAGAGGAGAACGTCGTGTCATCGTCGCCATCGTTGCGCAGAGAGCAACCACGGCGATTCATTGTCCAGGAAAGATGCAGAAGTGAAGTATCGTATGATCAATCGCAAGCAAAATGCTTCGTCTGTAGTGAAGCGCGCCTATTTAATGGCAGACTAGACATGCAGTGAAAGCAGGACGGACGCACACACAGAGAGAGAGAGAGAGAGAGAGAGAGAGAGAGAGAGAGAGAGAGAGAGAGAGAGAGAGAGAGAGAGGGATCGTGGGACTTCAAAATTTAATGGCGCCGGATTGCGTGTGCCTTATTTAATATGCGGGTGCGAGTCGAGATCGACGGGACGCTCATCTCGAAGTGGCAGGAAGGGTAGGATCTGAGCGTGTCGCCGGTTATAATCATAGATTGGGCAAAAGCCTGGGTGAGGAACCGAAGACAGAGGGCAATTCTGAAGAACATAGGCTGATACGGAGAGATTGATGGATAACAACAGGATGATACGGAGAGATTGATGGATAGCAACAGGCCTATGTAATTGGGGAGGGGGAGATTAGGAAGGCGGTCGTGTCGGAGTGGGAAATCACCTGTTCTTCGCTCGGTTTGTGTCGAGGGTAACGGTGACGGGTGTGTTTGTTAATCATGAGAGTTGTAAGGTGGCTTAGGGGCTGGTGTACTGCTGTTGCGGGCTGCCTTGGTCGCAATCTGACGGGCAATAGTGCAGAAGTGTCCGGGGTTGGACAGGAGTCGAGCCCGATGTCGGGAACTGGTGTGGATTCGTCGGAGACGCCCCGTTTCAGGTCTGGCCCTAGCCATACCTCCACGGTGGTGGTGGTAGTTAACTCCACCGACAATGTGATCGTAACGCTGTGGATCGACTACGATGGGAAGGAGGTATGGTATACTTTTCTCCTTTCTCTACTTCTGTGCATCGTAGGGCACTCTTTTTCTTTTCTTTTTCATCGGTGTCTTCTATATATTTGTGCACGTGCGTCGCTCTCTTGAACCCTGGGTCCCACTCTGGTATTGTCTGTGTCTGCCTGTTATGTTGTCTTTACAGTTCTTGTCTCTAGATGTATATCTCTTATGTTCTTACCGTAGTTTTTCCGTCTAGATGGTGTATACTCTTTTCTGTGTATTCCTTTGTAAGTCTTCTCATCGCTCTGTTTCTCGTCGTCTTTCTCTCTCTCTCTCGCTGTGCATTTATTTGCCTCTTTGTGCGTGTCTATGTCAGCATGCTCTGTCTCGATCTGTCTGTCTGTGTGCGGATCCTATGTGCATTCCTTATGTGGATTTTCTAATTACGTTGTCTTTCTGCCTGCACGTCTCCCGACCTATGTCGTTCTGCCTGCAAATGTCGCTCTGCCCAATCCTGTCTATGTACTCATCGTGTCTGTGTGCTTGCAGCTGCCCCTTTGCTTGCTTTCCTGCTGCTATTGACGTTTCTTGTCGGTAGTTTCTTTGTGGGCATCGTCCTCTTTTTCCATTACCTTTATCCCTCTCGTCCCGTATCTTACTATCATCGCATCTGCCGTTGGCATCCGTCTCTGCGTCTACTTCTCTCTCTCTCTCTCTCTCTCTCTCTCTCTCTTTTGCTCAGTATTTGCTTATCTGCATCAGTCTCTCTATGCTTGTCGTTTCGCATCTATGCCTTGTATGTTTTTTCTCCTGTTCTCCGTCTCTTGCTACGTGCGTGCTTGCCTCCGTCGGTATGTGGACACGTGTTTCTGTTGTTGTTCATACCTGCCTCCCCGCGTTTATCTTTTTCCTTCCCGTCTTCTTGTGCATGTTGCGAGCTCGGCTGACTCTCTATTTGTTCCTCCTTCACTGACCCGGTGTTATCCATTGGTCTTTCCCGCCTTATGTTCCGCCTCCCGTACCCCTCTTACGTCTGATTCTCCGGTATATATCCCTCGTCCTCCCGTGAATGGCACCCTCTCCGTGCCTGTCTCCCTGTCGTCTTCCATGTCTCCCGTGAATGGCACCTTCGACGTTGCTGGGCCTGACTGTTCCTCTCTCACTGTCGTCTTCCATGTCTCCGATGTGCTTATTCTCCTCCGTGGTAATTATTCGCTGTTTCTTCGGCTCAGTTTTCCTCCTCCTGCCTCTCTCTCTCTCTCTCTCTCCGAAACCCCTTGAGGCCCCCGCACCTACTCCCCCCCTTGGACGCAGAATTGCCCTCCCTTTTCTCTCTTCGACTCCTGCACTCGTTTGCATTGTAATTTTTTATTACAGTTACGCTTTTCCCCGCTCTTCACGCCCTTACCCCTGTTTAATTTCTCGTTCTCTTTTCGACCTCCTCTTGACGAGTAGGTCACTGCAGTCTAGCCTGCCACTTCTTACTGCTTGTATTTTGGGGAGCAGCTGCAGGCGTTATCTGTTTGCCTGCGCAAACGCGCATCCTGTCGATTGTCAGATGGGGAGCATGTCTTTCTTGTGCGATCATCCTGCGCTACCCTCATCCATGACCTTGTCGCATAGGCAGTTGTGTAGTTAAATCCTGAAAGGGGACTGCGGAGTTCGGTAGGTGCTTTCAGAGTGACCCCTTGGATAACCATGGGAGAGGAAATAATACCGCCCCCCCACCCAAACCAAAAATTAAAAATAAGTAATCATCTATCATGTTTTTTTTTTTTTTTTTTTAAATTCTTGGACCATTTCTCGATTTATGCGTGTCATCCTTGCGCAGGGGCCATTTGCTAATTTACCCTTCTCTGTATCGTTCCAATTTTTAACGGATGTCCCAAAGGACCATCTATCAGTTTTAGGGGGGAGCGAATGATGATACCTTCTTAGGCAGCAGATTAGTGATGATCTGTATTCCGGAAATAGATTATTGACGGCTCTTGTTTAGAAATGGATTTCAGTGGATTTCTGCGTAAAAATCACCGTGTCTGAAACGATCACCCCAGTTAATCCGCAAGGAAGCTGTCTTTTTATCTTCAGGGATGATGTTTTTTGTTCTTTGATTCCTTTTCACTTCTTAACAAGAAAGAGGCATGGTTCATTATCATTTATAACATGCGAGGCGGTGGTCCTCCCGTAGCGGTCGTCAGAGATGGGTATCTCGCACACATTTCTTTGTTGTAAAATTTCGGTCTAGTCCACAACAATGAAAAGCTGTCCATTGGCGATATCAATATTGTGCAATTTCTCGCTCATTCTTCGTTTTGCCTGTACGTGTCAGTTTATACGAGCGGACCTCAAAGACGCTTTTTCCAGTCTCAGGCGTACATGAGGAAGTTACGGTGGCTTTTGCTTTCGCTTTCGTTTACAACCGTAATATAGCTGTATCTGGGAGGAATTCGAGTCTAGATAGGGTCGAGTCTAGATAGGGCGCTCTACTGGCCTCTATTCTTGAAATTCGCGAGCGTTCCCCCCCCCCACCCCCCCTCTCCCCGCCCCCGTCTCCATTTTCTTCGATAGCGGGCGTGGATTGTGGTGTACTGCGTTTTCGTGACTATCAGTTGTAGGAGCAGTTGATGGTCCATCGTTAGGAGGTAGGAATCAACGTGTGAAGACGTGATTTTGTTTCGCTGTTCTCTCTGATTATACGGCACGTCATTCTTACAGCAGCTGAAGATTGATAGACGTGCGAATTAACGTCTAAAGACGTGATTTTGTTTCGCTTCTCTCTCTGATTGTACTGCACGCCATTCTTACAGCGGCTGAAGATATCTGCACGACATTGAATTCAAGTCATCTATCTATCTATTAACGAATTCCTGAAGTTATTGACGTTGATGCACGCATCCATTAACGGCCACAGATCAGACAAGTCAATTCGTAGTCTTTATGCCTTAATGGATGTATATATTCTCACGGATGTAATCAATCTCATTATTCTCATGGATGTATATTGGATTATAAGTTGTGAATATTGGGTTATAAGTTGTGAATGGACAGAATTTGATGCCTCCTATGTTGATGCAACCATCGATTAACGGCGACAGATCGGACACATCAGCTCGTAGTCTTTGTTATTCTCATGGATGTAATCAATCTCATGGATGTGTATTGGAGTACAGATTTACGAGTTATAAATTGATTGATTGACGGAATTTGATGCTTGGCTCCATCAAAGCCCGCAGGCCTCACGGATCATTCCTTTAGTCTTCCCTTACTGTACGACTAATTACCAGATCAGGATGCTGGAGATGATAATAAACCTCACTAATTTCCAGATCAGGATGCTGGAGATGATAATAAACCCAGATTTGGGGTATCTTTCAGTCTAAGTACAGCAGTAACGACCGAACGTTATTTCGGGTGAAGAAGGTAGTCCTTTTCAATTACCGTTACTAATCTCTTTCTTAGCTTTGTTCATCCATTTGTTTGGAGAAGACCAAGAATTTCAGTGATGGATCATAATCGGATCCTCAGTGATCCTTGAGCGATAGATCATAATCGGATCCTTTCTGTGTCTCTCGCACTGCCTGGATTAGACCAGGAACATAGCTGGTTGGGCGGAAAGCCTGCTATGCGGTTATCCCGGGATGCACATCTGGACCAACTGGTTGGGTCATTCATGTGATGGTCTGCCCCTCGTCTGATACTTTTCCATACTTACAACCGTCTTCCCCCGAACATAACGCACCCTGAAAAGGACGCATACAAGGTATGTTTCCGGCCCGATACAGGCAAAATGGGGGTGCGTTGTGTTCGGGGCGGTAGTTGGACGGAAATCCTGGGGTCTGAATTTCAACAACAGTTCATAGTTGTACCAATTGAGCTAGGCCTGTCGGTGTAAAACTATAGCTACCTTCTTCCCCCGAATACAACATACGGTCATTATAGCTGTATTTGGAGTATCTTTCAGTCTATATAAATCTATAATGACCGTACGTTGTATTCGGGGGAAGAAGGTAGGAACCCTACTGGTTGGACCGAAATCCTGCTGGCTGTGCTGTTGTTCGGTGTATAACTATAGCTAAGAACCTTACTGGTCGGACGGAAATCTTGCTGGGACGGAAATCTTGCTGGCTGTGCTGTTGTTCGGGATGTAGATGTCAACCAACTACGTAGTATGGCGACTGCTCATGCTTAGTGAGCATCACCACCACCGTCGATGAAGCAATGCTACCACCACCGTCGATGAAGCAATGCTACCACCACCGTCGATGAAGCAATGCTACCACCACCGTCGATGA